AATGTGCACCACCATATTTCTAATAATATTACCACAAGTGATACACGATGTGATAGCTACTCTAAACAAAAGAGAACTTACCCGATTGATGATATAATGAAAGATTGTGTGGTAATATATCAACCTTTAGTCAAAATATCAAATGGCCCGAACGACAACAAAAGGCAAAAATGGCTTGCCACGAAACGTGATAAATATTAATATAGAACAACTGGATTCTTGTCAGTGTGGACGTTCTTGATTTCGGCGTAACTATCTTTTCATTTCCTACATTAATTGGAAAGAACCACGTGCGATCATGCGATGAAGATACCCACTGTCTAATTTCTGTTAAATACAACCCAGGCAAAACAAACGATAAATTGCTATCTTTATTTTAAAACGATAAGCGACAGTGAATGCAACCGGGTGCCGTGTCATTCCGATGACATGTGTGTTCAAATCTAAATTGTGCATCTATCACGGGGAACCATTAACGAATCGACTTCGTATCTTTTAGGTATCGCCCATCGAGATCTGAAGCCGGAAAACATTCTGTGCGTGTATCCGGACAAGCTGACGCCGATCAAATTGTGCGACTTCGATCTTGGTTCGGGTATCAAGTTCAACAACTCGTTGTCGAGTCCTGTAGCGACGCCGCAGCTTTTGACGCCGGTCGGCAGCGCTGATTTCATGGCTCCGGAAGTAGTAGAGGCTTTCATCGGCGAGGCGAATTATTACGACAAGCGTTGCGACCTGTGGAGCCTCGGCGTAATTATGTACATTCTGCTCTGTGGTTATCCACCTTTCTACGGGAATTGCGGTTCCGACTGCGGTTGGGAGAGAGGAGAGAATTGCCAGGCTTGCCAAGAGCTTCTGTTCACCAGTATTCAAGAGGGCAGGTACGAATTTCCGGACAACGAATGGAAGTGCATCTCGGAAGACGCGAAAGACTTGATCAGGGGATTGCTGGTGAAGGAAGCCCACCAGCGGCTCAGCGCCGAAAGTATTTTGAAACATCCGTGGATCAATCCTGGCCCGAGCGCCGTCGAAAATACCGAGAAGTCGCTCACCACTCCTCATATTATCAGGTTTGTTGCTCGTGGCGAAGCGAGTACGAAATATAATAATCACTTTTGATTGTCGTGTCCATCAGCCAGAAAGAGAGAGAGAGAAAATTTGAGTAAACTTACGGAAAAGAATATACATGTATTTCTTTTGTTGTTCGTAGGAGGAACAATTCTGCCAGAGAACTGTCGGCGTTCGCCGAATCGGCAATGGCTGTGAATCGCGTGGTACTTCAACACTTTTCGGTAAATTTGGAGGAATTGGCAGAGAAGAGGGAACCGAGGTTATCAACGTCGTCGACGGATGAGGATAACCATCCTTACGGGCACATGTCCGACTCGAGCAGCGAATTATCCGAGCACAGTAAGCTTTGCGCCACTCACTCCTCCAACGAATTCGACGCGAGCTCGTGCTTGAAATCATGCTCGGACCGAATTTCGAATACCGATCCGATCGACTCGAAAACCATCGGGAAGAATCGGCTGATCGGCAAAGACGACTCGTCGCTTCACCGATTGTTCGGTTTGTCACCACCCAGCGAGAGTCGTCTCATGCAACGTCGTTTGAAGGCTCGTTCCGACTTGCTCGAACGTCAGTCGAACAAAGCGGTTATCGCGTCCCCCAGTGGCTGAAATTGTCGCGTTGTTGTCGTCAGGCTTGCTTGCGAACGAAACGAACGTGTGTCCTTTCTTGGTAGCGCGCGTGTATAACTTTTGGTCTTTTTTACACGTCTCTCTGCGTATATACGGGGATACGAGGGAAGCATTGCCACACGCTCTCTCACGCTCGTCATTATCCGCCGATGTAGTTACGAGCAAACGACATCACGATTGGCTATAAACGAGAGAGAGTTGTGTCTGCTTCATTGGGATATATAACGATGACGGATGATTCGCGCGACACAATTGACGGCTATTATATACTCGTATGTCGGGGACAGAGGGGAAAACGATATATAGCATAAAACAAAACGTGTACATAATCAACTATGCGCGACGCTAATCATGCACGACACTCGGTCAGACAATAATTCTTTGGCGAATTTCTATACCCCACAGAATTCGGAGAAATGTCGTATCTTTGTCTTTTGATTTTTTTTTCCTTGTCCTTGTTCTTACTTTCTTTTCTTTTTTTTTTCTTTCTTTCTTTCTTTCTTTCTTTCTTTCTTTTTGTCCTTTCGTTTCGTTTCGTTTCGTTTCGAAAACAAATTCATAAATTTATAAAAAAAAAAGGCGTTTATCTCTTGTTTGGATGTGTTGCTTCACACGATGCATTTCGTTAAATAATATGAACGAACATGAGCAAACACGGCACAAATTCGACCCGCGTAGTAACGTGTACAAACGATGAAATCAGACGATCGCACACGTATTACAGATTTTGTCTCTTAAATTACTTTTGTAATGGGGAGAATTTGAAAATTGTGTGTGTGCGTGTGTGCGTGTGTGTGTGTGTGTGTGTGTACATTCCACTGTCCACTATTCGATTAGATGAAAACATAACAGACGATAGATGTGAAACGTCTCTGAAACTCTTTTGCTATCGTAGTGTCTAGAAAAAGTACATATTTATATGTATGCTCGTTCATATCGATTTATCGAAAAGATATAGGATATACGGACAGACAGTGAAAGGAAAGTAATAACTTTGCCGAATATCTCTTTAATTTCTTTAGATTCTTTTGGCTTCGTTTGAAACATTTTGCAACGTGACTTTTGCAATATCGTTATGAAAAAAAAAAAAAAAAAA